TTCAAGTGAGTCATACTGAACAGAGGGGACAGAGTTCTCTCTGGTCTGCCTGGGTGGCACCAAACAGCCAGCAGTGTCCTGCTTGCCGGGACAACAAGAGCTAGCTGTGCTGGGAGCAGCAGCCTGCAGGCAGGCCAGTGTCAAGCGATGCTTATGCTTGTGGGTGCCTTATTTATACTCCAAGCCTTCTCCACAAAGGTCATCCCTTGGTAGTACTTGGAGTTCCCCAGGACAACAGTCTTCTGGGAAGCTCTTGGCTTCCAGCTCGCTGTGTGCGCTGCGTCACACTGCTGCAGATTTCTAGGTTTCAGGTTCTGGTAACTGTGTACTTGAGAGGCACTCCATGTTAAAAGCATTGCCTTTAAAAGGAGGGGGGGAAAAAAATCCAGTACCTTGGTTATTTCTGACTTTAAAAAAGGGAAAGAAAAAAAGCATTGTACTAGAGGCCAAGTAGGTGTGTTTCTGCTTAATTTGCTTAATTGCTTACCTGTGTTTTGGTGCCACCTGCTCAGAGTGGTGCAGTTGGGAAGTTGGCAAAGGAAATCCCTATAGTGGTTGTGCATGGTGCTCTAGGGGAGGATGCTTCATGAGGAATGAAGTCCTCCATGGGGGCAGGGGTTGCCATAGGGATTACAGTAACACAGCATAGATGCTAGATTCCTTCTTAAAAAGGGGGTGTTTTCTCGCTGTGATTTAAATTAAAGAATTAAAAAGTTTTAAAAATCAAATTCAAATTAAACACCGAGAATCTCTTGACTGTTTTGCTGAACTTCAGGCAGCAAAGGTAGCACAGCAAGCTGCTGTTAGAGAAAGTCAAACTCTGAAGAAGGGGTCTCTCTTAATTAGTGGACTCAGCCGTTCCTGTATGGAGGCAGCACAGCTGTTCTGATCCCTTGACTTTGACTCTCAGGCTCTCCTATGGACTACTTATCAGCAGTGTGGAGTTTGACCCCGTTCTCACCGTTCTGCACGCAGGATAAGCAGAGCCCTGTGGTGCAGGGTGAGCTGATAGCTGGCTTACTAACACTGACAGACCATAGTTAAGGGCAGGCCTGTGTGCAAAAACCAACTGCTGGGCCTGTTTGGGTTTGCCACCCTGCAGTGTCTGCCTGAGGGGTATTGATGGGGCAGAATAGCTGCTCTGTGTCCTTGCACTGCCAAGGCAGGGAGCTGGGCAGTGAGTGCCAGGGGGTAACTGAGGGCTTTGTGTTCCTCACTGACCTGCTGCATTGCCTACAGACTCGTGCTTCTGTTTCTTAGCTGCGTGCTTCAGCTCAACCAGAGAAACGACAGGTTTTTTTTCAGAGGTGTGTTTTGTTTTCATCAGTCCTTGGATGCTTTTGCTTTGCTTGCCCTATTGCCCCACATGTTTCAGTGTAAGGTTAGCTCCAGCTCACAGTCAGCCAGCTGGTGGCACTTGACAGCAGGTTCCTGTCTGCCAGCAGAGGACTGACGGCAGCAGAGCTTCTGCCTAGGTGCAGCAGGTACTGCATTGCTTTGCACTCTAGCATAGGAACTGCTGTTTTACTGCCACAACACCGTGGGTTCGGTTCTGTGGATGGAGGATTTGGTCTGTTTGGTCTGCTTTTGTTGCAGATTCTTTGCTGCCTCTGAAGGGAATACAGCTGGGGAGGACGAGTAATGGAGGAGGTGGGACGTGGTTACAGAGCTTTGCAGCACAGCCCTGGAGTGCCTCCAGATGATGAGAAATTCTGATTAGATACAGAAGTTATTTCTTCCCATTGTGAGGGTGGTGGTTGTTGGTGATGCTAGTGACAGCAACCTTACCTACAACATAGGGTGATTTTGGTGGTCCAAATAATAAGTAAATTATTCTGTGATGCTGTCACATGCAGGAATTAATAAATGGCCCTTTCTGTTTGGATTCTGACTGCAGTACTAGAGTTTAACCTTTCTAATAAGCTCAGGACACTCATCTCAGTTAGGTGTAATTACTACTTGTACTGTGTATTTTCTACCTTAAAACTACATGACAGTTATTTATTCCTCTTTGTCCCCCTGTCAAAGAATTTGGATTCATTGCAAGATTATCCCTCTGCAGGTGTAGTGAATGCAAAACATATGCACATTCCTTAGCAGTTTGAGTAGAGGGAGTGAGAAGCTTTCAGGTGAGGTAAGTTTGTGTAAGTAAGTAACTTTGTTTGCTTCAAAACCAAATTATCTGTATAGATTCTCTCCTTTCCACTTAAAAAAGCAGTAGATGGAATACCTACCTTCACAGTTAGGCACTGTGTGCCATTCTTAGAAGCTACAGTTGATTTCCTTTAAAAACCTCTGAGCAGTCTGTTACAGCAGAGCTCGTGCTAGGCTGCAGCTCCATGACAAGGAAATATCTACTGTGCAAATTGATCCATCTTTGGATAATGAGATTGACTTTTAACTTTTTTTTTTGCCTGCTGAAGAAGTGATCTTGTTGGGTGGTGTGGAACAATCATGTTCTGTGTTGATGTGGATTGTGCTTAAAAATTAGAATTGCTCAGTCATCTCAGACACTGGGTTGCCTGTGTGCAGACTGCAGTTGGCCTCGATCCCTGTGGGACCCTTCCAACTCCAGATACTCTCTGATTCTATGTGTAGGTCCCACACAAGCAGTGTTGGGCAGACAAAAAAAGCGAGTGGAAAACCTGCTGGAAGCACGAGGAGATAAGAGAAACAAAAACAGAATGATGAAACTCTGGAATTAAATTAACTGCACGGTGCTGAGAGCACTCTAGTGAACTTGCACGTTGTGCTGATGCAGCCTTGGAATACACACCGACTTTCTGAGCAGCTGAGTCATGCCACATAAATGGTTTGAGGTCTGAGATGATGGCTGTCCGATCTATTGAAAGGTGTATTTTGTTAGAGGAATGAACGTTTTGCCCTGGAGCAGGTGGGTTGTTTTTCCCAGTTGTGCTTGGTGCTGTTACCTGGATGCTCCCTGTCCCTTGCTGTCAGAAGTCAGTCGCGCCTTCATTGCAGACTTGAGAGCAGTGCTGTGTCCCTTCTCAGCCTGGCTGCTTCCCTGCCTACCTGCAGCTGCCTGCCACAGCATTTGTGTGTCACCAGGTCAAAAAATAACCCACGTTACCACGGATGGTGCTGTGAGAGAAGGCTTGGTGAGCTCGTGCCAGGAGGAGATGTCGCAGGCATTCCTGCATCCAAAGCAGGCGGCTGCTGGTGGAGCTGTAGGAAACAGGGCAGGAGGAGGATTTGTGCCTCTGGGCTCCCTGCTGCAGACATCAAAGCCGTGGACAGGATGCTGTCAGCAGAGCAGGATCTGACTCCTAGAATTTTCTGCTGGCGTGATCCGTCCTGGTAGCCTAAACTAACGGCTCTGAGCAGATTTCTAGATCTTATTAATTTCTGGTTAATGGTGCTGTTGCTTCTTCCTGCAGTGTAGTAGTTGCACAAAGGGATAGGATTGCATAGCAAATAATTCCCCTTCATTTGGGTTATAGCATTGCCCACGGAGGGCCGTTCTGTGACCGCAGCCGTGCAGCCTGCCTTGTGCTGCATGCTGAACAATGCTCCTTCAGACTGATACAGCTTCCTTCCTCCAAAGTTATTTTGAAAGCTGACAAAGGCATTCTTGTATTTAAATGTTTAAAAGTATGTCAGCTTTCACTCGTGGTGAAAGATTGGAGGGGTGCGAGGCACTGCTTTTATTTAGGCAGGACGATACGTCCGGTATAAAACCATAGCACTTAATGCTTGGCTGAATGGAGAGCTTTCCTCTGCCTGCTTCTGGCCTATTGAAAAGAAAAAAAAAACACTGTGTGAGGTTTTTGGCATGCGTTATTGCCTTTACCAGTGTGCTGTTAATAGATAGCCTGGATTTATAAATACCAGGAGCTTTGTCCAGAGTCTCAACAATCTGGTTTTTATACAGGAACCGTCATTGACTTGAAGTTTTTATGCCACCGTAATATTTGTGCATTCTAATTCTATTGGGTGATATTGGTAGGACCACCTGTAGGTGCTGCTTTTCATCCCTCACGTCAGGGTGTTTGTAGCCCATGCAGTGTGTTTGTACTGGCAGTACTGGAAGCACGCTCTGAATTGGGGCTCGAGGTGGTGGGTCACTGTCCTGCTGATGGAGGTCCTGCCAGTGTTAGCTGGGGCCTTTGAGCAGGCCTGAGAAAGCAGTGTGCTCCATAAACAGGTTGTGCCTCTGCACCAAGGAGCTCATTTGTGCTACGAAGCACACTTGTGATTCCTCTGCAGGGCTTTGAGTAAAACTTCCCTGTATGGTCACTGAGTGAGAAATCAGTAGTGACTCTGGGGTCTTATGGCAGGCTGGGAACCAGAGCTGGTTAGTGTAGTTCTTAGAGTAAGTTACTGCTGCTGTAAATATTCAGAAATCAGAGCATGTGCTGGATGAACAGCAGCTTCCTGCTCAGTTACTGCAGCTAGTCGTAACGGCGGTGGAACTCAGCAGGCCTGAAAGTCTGCTTTCAATGAAGATTGCGTTTCTAGAAATCGAAACTTGGGGCTGTGCTTAACTCAGGTTGCACAGGTGACCTTGTAAATCTGTCTGCTGTTGGCAGCACGGCTTCTCAGTGTCCTGCAAGAGGGGCAGGACGTGCAGCACACAGGGAGTGAAGGGTTCTGCTTCTGCACCGGCACAAACTGGCCCGGGGTGGAGAAAAGTTGCAGTTGATGGCCGTTGCCTTTGCTGCAGAGCTGAAGGGAGGAGCCCATCTGCTGAGACAGAGCATGCTGCGTTTCTTCCCTTGTGGAAAGTTATCTTTCCAGCCATAAGTTAGATACTTGGTACTGAAAGTTGCAAGGTGCATTCAGGGTGTTTGTTCTGCTGTTGGGTCCAGACGGTCCTGTCTTGTGTGAGGAAAAGCAGGCAAATGGTTTTCAGGTCCTGACAAACGATCCCAGGTCCGTGGCTGGACTCCAACTTCTTCTCAACAGCTTTTAATTATTAACTTCAGTATTTTTATACTATCTTGAGATTTTAACCTTTGGTTTATTTTCTCTCTCTTTAGTTGGAAGAACCAGAGGCCTGTCTGAGGCCTTTCTCCTCTGTCCTACTGTGGAGATTGGGTAGCCTCTGGTTTCAGCCATCTCATCGCTTCCACCTGCCAACCTGTCTGATATGTCGGGACCCGTGCCGAGCAGGGCCAGGGTTTACACGGATGTGAACACACACAGACCCCGGGAGTACTGGGACTACGAGTCGCATGTGGTTGAGTGGGGGTAAGTGTGGGCTGGGCAGGGTCTTGTGGGGTCTGCAGAGGGGTGCAGGGGGAGCTTTGGCACCTGTGCTGCGTTAGGCTGTCACGCTCTTTGGATGTGTGGTGTAAATGGCAAGTCAGGATCACAGCTTTTCGTTGGCATTGCAGAAATGGCAGAACAGCCTGTTGTGTATCTGAAATGGTCTCCTCAAGTTTTTAGATCCCTGGCAGCACAAGAATGTTTTTAGTGCCTCCGTTAAGATTTTGGTTGGAATAGCTTTTGACACGCAGTCAGGAAACTTGTTCTTTTCAGAAGGAAGAAAGTCTTTTATCTGAAACAGGCTAAATGGCTCTGGGAGTGGGGCTGGAGAAATGGTTCTGATTTGGAGGAGTGCAGAGACTCAGCAAACTGAAATAGGTACATGTCTCCTTGTGACCTGTTGCTCTTCTCTCTGCAAGTGACTACAAAAGACATCCATGCTCCTTTCTGAAGGAGGGAAGTGTCTAAATCGAGCTCATGACTGAAATGTCCAAGAATCAGATGGCAGTGATGCAGCTTGGTGGCTCTGTGCTCCTGCTTTTGTGGGCAGGGCCCAGACAGCCCTGTCCTCAGCTGAGCAGAAGTGGTGTCCTGTGCCTGGTCTGCTACTGAATGGGCGAGCACTGAAGTTTTTTGTCTTGATAGCTCTACTGATGTTTTCCTAGCGTTATGTTAGGAAAAATGTAGCTCCCAAACCTACGTAGACCTCTGGAAAAGATAGCTTGAGTTTGCTGAAGTCCAGATGGGCTCACATTACTACTGCAGAAGAAACAACTTGTGGGTTGAATTGGGCTTGGACAAAGAAAAGCTCCCCGCTTCTCTGAGTTCGTAATCATGGCCTTCAGTGGGCTGAAGGTGCTTGTTTATCCACCTTCTCTGGAAGGGGGTGGCAGTGATTTAGAGTTAAGGAGCACCTTGTAAATTCTGATGGAAATGTCTGAGCTATTTGGAATTCTTTACCTATTTATCTCCACAGAAATCAAGATGACTACCAGCTAGTTCGAAAATTAGGCCGAGGCAAATACAGTGAAGTATTTGAAGCCATCAACATTACAAATAATGAAAAAGTAGTTGTTAAAATTCTCAAGGTGAGCAGGGGTTTGGGGAAAACATGAGATTGGTCCTGAAGTGATCGGGAGGCCAGAAAATGCAGCAGTTGGTCTGAAGTGTCTTGTGTTCTAAGACTGACATCCTTGAAGTCTGTCTTCAGGGTTCCCTTCAGTGAAATAGGCTATCATTGCAAGCTCTTAATAAGAAACCATATGCTTGGTTATGAAGTTAAACCTCTGCCTGTAAGGAGTTAACCTTTCTCTTAAAGAAGTCCTGATGTGCAGCACGCTTCTGAAAGTGTTTTTACTTGGAGCTAGAAAAGTTTTCAGTGGCTGACTAGAGAATTCTCACCTCTTAGCTACCAGAACCCCAGCATGTTTTTATGTGGAATGAAGCCCATAAGCTCGCAGGACTGTTGTCCTTTCAAGGCAGTGATAAAATTCAGAGGCTGCTAACCTTAAATTTGGAATTTCTGCTTTGCACGTTCCATTGCAGGCATAATATTCTTCCAGGCTGAGTTAAGGTCTCCTGGAAACTTACTGTTCCACAATCTTGACTGGTGAAATACCTTTGTTTAGTGTGGCCTTTGGATAGCTGATGGGTTTCTCCTAACTGTACATCTAGCACAGATAACAGATTTTTGACTGTTGGAATGTGTTCAGAGATGTGAGTTCTTACTGAAATGATTCATAGGTAACAACCAAGTGTGGCTGTTGGAACTTAACTTGCAGAGGTGCTGATGTATTTTGCTAACTTGCAGTCAGGTACCTTTGTCATCTGTCCTGTCTGTTTGCCTCACTTGATGGCCACTTTGTCTTATGCTCTGTGTTTTATTCTCCAGCCTGTTAAAAAGAAGAAAATCAAGCGTGAAATCAAGATCTTAGAAAACTTGCGAGGCGGTCCCAATATAATCACTCTTGCAGATATAGTAAAAGACCCTGTGGTGAGTAAAGGGTGCTTTGGGTTTGTGGGTAAACTTTGTCTTTCACTTCAGCTCTGATCTGACGTTTTTGTTTTCCTCTGCCCTTAAGTCCTGCTTGTGAATCCCTTAATGAGATGAGCTCTTAATCTGATTAACTTCTTTTAGAGGCCTTTCCCCCCACAGGTCACTTCTGCCCCTCGCTCTATAAGGAAGCAGCAGTGAACTGAGACGTGTTCATTTCTTCTAGGGGCAGAACAGAGTGCAGGCTCTGTTCTGAGGGAAATTGCAGCAGTGCCTGAGGCAGAAGGGGCTTTTTTAGGAATTTTAGGAGTTGAAATGATTTAATGCATTATCTTGAATGGAAACAGTTTATCTCAACAAGGCTGAACACTTTTTCTCTCTGTTTCAGTCTCGGACCCCTGCTTTGGTTTTTGAACATGTAAACAACACAGACTTTAAGGTATAGTATGAGTTCTGACCTTCTGTGTTTTCCATTCAGAAGCCTCTTGTAATGTTCTGGGAAGGCACTAATATGTAGAGGGAAGGCAGGTTATGTAATCATTTCCTTCCAACATACCAGTTGTCTTTGAAGATGAATGCACTTGGATAGAAGTTTGTATTCAGTTCCTTGGTAGTTAGAAGGTGAAGATCCAGATCTCTGTGGTATTGTAACCTTCAGAGCAAATTCATCCATTAACCTTGTAGGCCATCAATGCCTGGGACAGCTTTACTCGAGCTGGGAGCCCCTCAGTGTGTTTGAGAGCCAGTCTGCAGCAAAAGGAATCGTGCAGTCGGTGGGCTGGTGCTGGGAGTTAGTGAGAGGAGCAGAGCAGAGTTCTGAACAGCTGGAAGTGAGCTGTGTGTGATGTGGATGGGAGAGGAACAGGCTGAGTATCTGTGGGGTTTGGAGAGTCACATCAGCAGAGGACGGAATTGGGTCGTTCTGGATTGGCACAGTTGTGATATTTTTCTTTGCTGTTGACCTCTGATGGGATGTGTTTGTTTCCCACAGCAATTATATCAGACATTAACAGATTATGATATTCGATTCTACATGTATGAGATTTTGAAGGTAAGTTGGGGTTTTCCTGTTTTGTTGATTGGTTTCTCAGCTTTGTAGTCAGCTGATCCTTTACAATGGTTATCTTGTCAGTAATGGGGGAAGGGAAGAAAGAAGGAAAGAAATTGGTTACTATGAAAGAATTGGTTCTAAAAATAGGCATCAGATCAGCACAGTACTGATGGGTTAGCCACGTTTCCACAAGAAATTCTAGTCCTTATTAAGGATAGCAAAGCCCTTATCTGGATACACTGAGAACTCCAGAAATCCTTTTTATTTTGGGAGTAAACACAGGAGGTGAAACCAGACACTTCTTTTGCTGGGACTTTGGGAGGGGATGCTGGAGGTCTTTGCTGTGGTCTGTGAGTCTGGTTCTGAGTGCATCACTGAACAGTGAAGTCGTGCTGCCTGGGTAACCTTGGTGTATGCAGAAATAATTCTGAATGTGGCTGAGCTTGAAAGGTTCTTGCAACTCCAGCATCTGCTTCTTTGTCACTTGCAGGCTCTAGATTACTGCCATAGCATGGGAATCATGCACAGAGATGTCAAACCTCACAACGTCATGATTGATCATGAGCACAGAAAGGTACTGCAGGGCAGGGAAGGGTCCTGCTTTTGTCTTGGCAAAACAGGGGTTCCTTTTTGGTATCCTTGAGATAGAGGTACTTGCAGACATCTTTGGGGGGGGTCATATGGGGGACTGTGCTTCCATGGCATGGAGAAACTTGAAATCTTGTGAACCACTTAAGATTTTTATGGGTTGTGTGTTCTGGTTGGGTTGGTAAGGAGAGATTTGACTTAGAGTGGTTGATGGTCTTGGCGTGTAGAGAATATCTGAACAGACACTGATCAATTTCTAATGAACTGAGAAGAGAGAGCTTGTAAATGAAGCTTTCAGGTACAGTCGTAGCACGGCTCAGTAGGAGCAGAGCTGGCACATCCCTTGATGTTTTTCATTGTTTTCTACCATTTCTAGCTTAGACTAATAGATTGGGGTTTGGCTGAGTTCTATCACCCTGGCCAGGAGTACAATGTCAGAGTGGCTTCCAGATATTTCAAAGGACCTGAACTCCTTGTAGATTATCAGGTAAGAATGACCAGGATTTATCACTGATGTGTATGCAGAAAACCTTGAATGTTTTCAGATAGTGAACCAGAAATTCAGGCATTCAGCAACCTGACTCTGAAGGTGGTCTGTTCTAAAATACATGAAGAGATGTAATGGATGTAAAGCCACCAAGTGAAACCAGGGAGTCACCTGGGGACTTGAAGAGCTGAACTTTCATCATGGATGTTGGAATACAAATGTTGATTTATTATTTTTTTTTTTTAATCAAGCCTGGTTGTGCAGTGAGGAATGGAAATGAAGTCTTTGTGAGAGGAGCTAATGCTGTGTGAACTGTTCCCCTGAGTTGAACAGTGTTCTGATAATGAAGATGCAGTAACATATTTGTTCCTGGTGTAATATGGCCATGTTTGCATTTCTGGAGGTGGGGGGAACCTGTGAGTTTTGGGAGTCCTTTCTGCTGAATTCATTAGAAATTGAATTGTCCTTCTGGTTTTGTACAGATGTATGATTACAGTCTGGATATGTGGAGCTTGGGTTGCATGTTGGCTAGTATGATATTCCGAAAGGAGCCATTTTTCCATGGCCATGACAACTATGATCAGGTGAGAGCTGCTCATGTGTGATCTCTGTTCCCTTCTCCCAGTGAAGACTTTCTGCTTACACTTCTATCAAGGAATCCAAAGAAGAATTTAAACATTTCCTTAATGGCTTCTGTGCTCAGTTTGAAGCTATGTCCCTTTCCCCTTCCCTTTTTTTTTTTTTAAACCATGCAAGGTTATCTAAAACAGATAGAAATAGTTTAGTGCTTTGTAATTTTGAGCTCCTTGGTATGTATCTGGTAAAAGTCACAACCTTGCTTTTATTAAGGGGGATGTGTTCTGGGACATTGAACCACTCCTCCTGAGGTGACAGTTGGTGGAAAGCCCCTGTCCTATCCATCTGCTAAGCGTTATGGGAGGGCACACAGCTGCCACCAGGCTGCTTTGGGCTGCACAGCCCTGACTGAGTGGGGACACACTTCTGGTGCCCACAGTTACAGTGGGACGGTTGGAGCTGTGAGATGAGCCCATGGCTGCTGTCTCAGACTGTGTTCCAGCTCCCAAGGGAATATGCTGCAGTATTTTGTGCTTGGCTCTGACGTTGTTGTTATTATTCCCTCACAGTAGTGACTTATTTTTCTGTTTGTTCCTAGCTGGTGAGGATAGCCAAGGTGCTGGGAACAGAAGATCTGTATGACTACATTGACAAATACAACATTGAACTGGATCCACGTTTCAATGACATCTTGGGCAGGTGAGCCAAGCTGGGAAGTAGTTCAGAAGATGGAGAGCTCTTGGTGGAGTTGGAGCTTGAAGTGAACAAAGACTTTTGCTTTAGAGAGAACTGCTGCTTTGTGCTTTTGACCCAGCTTTGCCAGTGCTTCCCATGCACCTGTATCTGCAAATGCATTTGAGGAACGAGTTTTAAGTGTCATTTAGGTTAATAATTGAACTGCCAGAGCATAAAGCATGAAGGGCCAACGCTCCTTCTGGTATTGCAGAAAAAAGAGCAGCCGTGGTTCTCAAGACTGTCAAATAGGAAATGAATTTCTGCTGATGGCACTGGCATGTTATTTTCCTCGTAGTTATTTCATGTGTGACCAGGAAGCAATGTTCAGAGTGTAACAGAAGAGCAGAACCCAGGCTTCAGGCCTGTCCCTTCACTCTGACCTCCTGCTGTTCGAAGCGTGGCAGCTGTGCCGCCACGTGGAGGCTCGGTGTACTGCTCTGTGTGCTCTGCTTCGGCTCAGCCCCTCGCTGCTGCAGCAAGCAGTGACCTGTCTTTGAGCTGGGCATCTGCTGCAGTCCTATCTTTAAAAAACAACAGGAATCTGGCACCTGGGTGCTCTGCCTCACCTCACCTGGGTGCCTTGTTTTCTGCAGACACTCCCGTAAACGATGGGAGCGCTTTGTTCACAGCGAGAACCAACATCTGGTGAGTCCTGAAGCTCTGGATTTCTTAGACAAGCTGTTGCGATATGACCACCAGTCACGACTCACAGCAAGAGAAGCCATGGAACACCCCTACTTCTGTAAGTAGCAGGCCTTACACACTCACACCTCTGCATTCTTTCCTCTGGGAAATCTCCATCCGAGTAGTTGTACAGACAGAGCTAAGCACTGCAACAGCAGAGGCCGCTGCTTTGCAAGTAGCTGTGCTGGAGCTGAGGCTGCTCATCTGAGGTGGATAAGTAGGCCATGGCCATCTGCAGCAGCTGAGGAGGCAGCGTTGTGTGCCTCTGTCAGGGCAGTGAATCAGCAGCACTGCATTAAAGAATCTTTGCTGCTGAACCTGTGCTCATTTCAGCAGGTGTCTGGATATACGGATTCCTGTGTCTGATGAAACCAGGTGACTCTGCTTTGTTGAGAAACAGGCCCTTTGAAGTCATCTTGTTGCTAAATGTGCCTTAGTCAGTGGTGTGTTGAAGTCTTGTTTTCTCAGGCAGAAAAATGAAACTTTCACTAGTAAACGTGAAAAAGTAATGTTTGAATGCTTGCAGTTTTCCCAGAAACCTACATATTAAGATTTGTGAGAACAGCTGTCTGACAACACAAATAGGAGTATCTGCTCAGGTTCTTTATTTTTGTTGGTGCTGAGCTGACTTCTCTAAATAACAACCAGCAGTCCTATGCTTGGGGCAAATGTTCAGCTGAAACGTTTTGCAAATATGAGCGTTAGCAGAGCTGAAAGCTGTGAAAGAGAGAATGGGGAAACAGCAAAATTACTTTGTGTCTAGGTGCAGGTAAAGGTTGTACTGAAGGCATCATGAGGAAAGGCAAACTTGAAATGACTTCACCTGCTGCAGTAGGCTTGGGAGGCAGGAAGGGGATGTCACAGTTCTGATGGCCGTGATTTTTACCTGCATCTTATGGAAGGCAACACGTGGACCTCATTAGAGTTCACAGCTGTGGGATATGGTTGGAGACATGACTTGTTACCACCTGTGATGTTTCTGCTCACTGCATTCATTTGCTGGGTTTAGTTTTCTGAAACACCTGACGTAGAAAGGAGATAACTGCCATGGCTTCAGCTCTTAGTGCCGAGCAGTCCTGCTGATCTCCACACCACAGAATTTGGGCAAGTTGTCCTTAACGTCTGGACTTGTTTAGTTGTGTTACCTTTGTACCCTGTTGGGTGCCCTCCAGCCGAGTCGGTGCAAACTTCTGTGCTCCAGTAGGTGCTGGCTGATACCATCTGTGCCACAGGCAGCTCGCCAGCACTGGCTGTGCACTGGGGTCAGGCAGGCAGCGTGCCTCAGTGCTGTCTGGCAGCACGGTGCCTAAGGACAGTGTGCTCTTCCTAGATCCCATTGTGAAAGACCAGGCTCGGATGGGCTCGTCCAACATGCCGGGTGGCAGCACTCCTGTCAGCAGTGCGAGTATGATGTCAGGTCAGTTCTGCTGCCTCTTGTTGGTGTTGCAAAGCGTTTCTGTGAATGTCTGGGAGGGAGAGTTCTGCAGCTGGGCTGTTGGGGCGTCTCCTGCAACTGAGGATGAAGGCAGGGCTAAAAAGATGTGGGTGGGAGAGAGGGAAAAGGGCCTCGCTGCGGCCTGACCTGCTTTCCTGGCCTTGTGTTTTGTAAAGTGCTTTGCAGGTGGAATTTCTGGCAGCGGCTGGAAGGACAGTGATGCTACCACATCTGCCCTTTGGTGACACTTTAAATGTGCATAAGCTGAGCTTTTTCTGTTAAAGATCTTTGCTCTCAGCTTATTTTGGTAGCTCTGAAAATGTAAGGAGGTGACCCGCGAGGATGACTTGTCCTTTCAGAAGCAGCACAGCAGACCTGGATATCCGTGCACCCGTTTCACTCTAATTCTTGCTTACCTGTCTCTGTTCCAGGGATTTCTTCAGTGCCAACACCTTCACCCCTTGGACCTCTAGCAGGCTCACCTGTCATTTCTGCCACCACCACCCTGGGGATGCCCGTTCCAGCTGCTGCAGGCGCTCAGCAGTAGTGATGGGTTCTGTCTCCTGCTGCCTGAGCTGAGTCAGGTGGGGAAGAGGTTTCCCCCTCCGCCTCTCCTCAGGACGCAGCTCGTGCCTGGCAGGGGAAGGGAGGGGATGAACGCTTTGGAGGCACCGTGTCTGAACTGTTGCTTGTGGATTTATAGTAGTTCAGTCATTATATACAAAATTATTATAGGCTGATTTTTCTTTTTTTACTTGAACTTTTCGTAACTCAGGGGATTCCCTGAAAATACCTACAGATGGAAAATTTCTTGGACAGTTTCCCTTCCCCCTTCCTCCCCCCCCCCCAAAAAAAAAAGTACTCTTCATTTAAGAGCAAAGATGAATCAACAGCATTTCCAAACTATTGCATCCTGCTGGAAATCTCTTCTCTTCATGTTCCCACCATTACTCCTCCACGAGCACACACCTTGGGAGATCGTGCTGTTCTCCAGAGACTACCAAACCAAGTCTTCATGAGGCAGGGGAGGGGGATTCTCTAAGTACCACTCACTCACTTTAACCCCATAGCCTGCATATGATTCAGTACACTGAGGAGACAATTCCAGTATGGAGAGGCGGTATAAGCTTAAAAGAAGTGCAGATAATGTCTAAAACCCTATTTTGATCAAATCATGTCTCCTTAGGAGCCGACCAGAATGCCAACTCACCCCCTTGCATGTAATTTTAGTCTTCAAACATAAAGTGACCGATCCAACTGAAGTCCTCTCCACCTCCTGGTAAAGGTGCTGCTTTAGAGCCGTCCTCTGATCAGCACCTTTCTCATGGAAGGGGAGGCTTCCTGCCATTGCTTGGCTTGGATCTCTGGAATTAGTTTGTTATTGGGTATATTGTTTTTAAATTGTTGATATAGGTTTCGAGCTGGTGGCAACTTAAAGCTGGAAAAATCAGACTGCGCCAAGTCAGATACCACATCTTCACCCACCATCCCCTCCCTCACGTGCCATGTGGTGAGAATACCAGTTACCTCACAGTCTTGTAAATATGCACTGAGAGGAAGGAGCGAGCAGACTTAACTTAAACTGAAATGGTAGATCAGTAATTGTGGACAAATATTATCATTGACAACAAAGGAAAAGAAAAAAAAGCACCCCTGTTACAGCCCTGCTACCCCTTGCTGTGTATATATACTTTGTCCTTCATATGTGAAAGATCCAGTGTTGGAATTCTTTGGTGTAAATAAACATTTGGTTTTATTTATCGAGGTTAGATTTAAGTTCCCTGTGTAGGGGGCTCAGGGGTGGCGTCACACACACGGACATCTCCCACCCTGAGCAGCAGCGGCTGCTGCTTCTGGCCATCGCTCGTTTCTCTGGGCACTTCTCGACTCTTCCTTTCCTTCGGGCGGGAGGAGCGGGGCCTGGGAGCGACGCGGCCTTTTCCCGTCGGCTGCGCCGCGTCTTTAAGCGCCGACTACGAACAACGCGCGGCAGGGGCCCCGAGCCCGGACCTTTCCTGACTCCGAGTGAGGTTGGCTGGGGGGCAGGAGGCTACGGAGCTGCGTTTGAAGCCGGGTGAGCGCAGCCCGTTGCCGCCGTGCGATCTGCCCCGCCTGGTGCCCTGGGGGCGCTGAGCCCCGTTTTCACACCGCCGTGCCGTAACGCGGCGGCCCGCAGGATTGGGGCCGGGTCCGGAACGCCACGCGTGCTTCCCGCCTTCTCCTGCGCATGCGCGCGTTCGCCCCGCCCACGCGCCACCGCCACGCGGCCGCGCCTGCGCATCGCAGCGCCGTGACGTAACACTCGCGCGCCGCCGGCGGAGGGGCGGGGGAGCGGGTGGGGGCGCGGAAGGGACGGGACCGGACCGGGCGGTGCGGGAGCGCCCAGCCCCAACCCGGCCCGGCCGTCGGCTCGGCATGCGCCGCAGCGCCCGGGAACAAACATGGCCCGGCGGAGCCCGCCGCGCAACGGTGTCGGAGGCCACGGTACGGCCCGGCCGGGCCTGTAGCGGGGGGGGGGGCAGCGCCTCCTAGCACAGGGGAGTGGGCTGGGGGTGCACGAGCGCCGCCTCGCGGGCGCCGGGTGGGGTCGCTGGCAGTGCGCCCCCATGCGGCGGGGCGGGGCGTTACGGCCGGGCGTTATGGCGGGGGGGACAGCGAGGGGTCGTTTGGCTCCGGGACGGGGCACCGCGGGATGCGGCCGTTGGGGACTCGTCGGTGCTGCCCGTGCGATGGGTGGGAGGGAAAGAGAAGGAAAGCTGCGGTCACCGGGGGCTTGCTGGATGCTTTAACATTGGTGTTCGGAGGGAGCTGAAGCTCTGCCGCAGGCTGCTGTGGTGGGTTTTCATCCAAAAAGTGCGCCAAAAAAAGATGCTTGGCGCTTCACTGCGTGGCTCCTGTGTGTCCCACGAGCACCGAAACCCCATAGGGCAGCAGGAGGTGGGCGTCAGGGAGAGTCGGCCCCTCCCGGCTCCTCCCGGCCCACGTCCTCTGCAGTTCCTCATCCGGTGGATCCCGGTTGGGTTCCATGAGCAGTGGGAGCTGCGTCCCTTGGAAAAGCCATCTGAGGAAGGGCAGCGTTGGCAGCTTCACCCTGCGTGGCCCTACAGAGCCTCTGTGAGCAGCGAGATGGGAGCTGCGTGTTGCATGGAGTGGCCCTGAACTGCCTCCCTGCTGCCCACCTGAGGCTGTGCTGACCTGCACCATGGGCAGGGTGAAGTGGTGCCCTTCCTCAGCCCCACACTAAATGCTCCTGTGTGCCATCTGTGTATTTAACCCACGTGAAACCCACCCTCTGTGTGCGTTCTTCTCTCCCCTCCCTGCCCCAGAATCCCTGTGCTCTACAAGGCAGTTCCTTTAATAGCGGCTCACCTGCACAAGGCTAACAGCTAGAAAGTTTGTGTTTGTTGGGAGGTAAGTCAGTACACTGTGATACTTGTAACTGGTTTAAATGTGACCTTCCTTGGGACAGCTGCTGTCAGTAGTTCAGACCTCTCCCTGGGCTGATGGTAGCCAGGAGCTGCTGCCTGGCCAGGAATCAGCAGGAACATGAGGCCCAAGTGTTACAGAGTGCACAACACCTGACCTGGGACTGAGTCAGCCCTTCCTGGAGTGGAAACAGTTGCAAAATAGCTCTGTGCTGCCATCACGGTCCTGTGTGGAGCTGTGATCTGATGAGGGTGACGAGCAGCTCTGTGGCACTTCTGTGTCAGCGGGACAACCAGTGCTGAGCCTGTGCTGGTCACAGTGTGGGTTGGCCGTGGTCTGTGCTAGCAGGGCCTGCGCTGACATGTCCTGTTATCTTGCTTTGTGCTTTTCCTGCAGACTTTGACTCCAAGAAGAAAAGAAAAGTGGCAGAAATTTACCAGGCCCTGAACAGTGACCCTATTGATGTGGCAGCGCTGAGGCGAATGGCCATCAGTGAAGGAGGGCTGCTGACCGATGAGATCCGCTGCAAAGTGTGGCCAAAGCTGCTGAGTGTGAACACAGATGACCTGCCCCCCCTGCCAGGTACAGGGCAGCCCAGGCAGGGTTCTGATGAGAATCTTTCTGCTTTAAGTTTTCTCTCTGCATGCTGGAGTGCTTCCCATTGAGCTCACACAGAAAGGGACTTGTGCTGCATAACGAACACCGCAGGCTGTGCGCTCTGTATCTTGCGTAAATGGCAGATCAGGAAGCAGAGAGCTTCCTAAAACAACGTTTCTGTTGTTCCCTGGAGGTGTCATTATCTTTAGTGACAGATCTTTAGATGTGGTTCTTGTGGCGTTGTGTGGTTGGTTGGCACGCACACAGTCAGTTGGTAGCAAGAGGTGCCAGGCTGTTTTTGGTGGCTCTTTGGTGAGGTGGCTGTGCTGAGGAGTGCTGGGATGGGATATGGTCAGGTGTCTGCTAGCTGCAGGTGAGGCAGTTTGTGTGAAGCCTGTGTGATGTTTGCTCAGAGGGGAAGGAGGGGAAATGACCTGCGTGATGTGACACCTGCGTGGCTGTGAACCTCAGGTGTCGCAGTCACCGCCCCCAGGGACAGATTCTGTTGTTGCTCCTGAATTTGTGGTCATTCAGAAGTGTGTGTATCCCCGTGTCAGTCGGGAGCTGGATTGTGGTAGGTGATCAGAGCTGCTGGAAGACAGCGTTGCATTTCATGTGACAGCGTAGGTAGCGTGCCAGCAAATTCTTTTCACTTCTGTTGGAGCTCTCTTAGCTACCAATGGGTGTTTGCTTTTTCTCCTCTGAATTATTTCTTTCAGCCATTCTTCACTGCCTGCACAGCGTGTTGTGCCTTGCTGTTGCTGAGGACGCTGTGAATTTCACAGTGTAGATGGTGGAGCTAAGACATTTCCAGGAACTCTGGGAACGGTGTCAGTTTAAGCATCTTAACATATGTTTAAATAATAGCCTTGTTTCCTTGCACTGCTGTTTGTGCAGCAGTGAAAGTGAGAGGCCAGGGCCGCTGTGTGACGTACAAAGAACGGGATGGGGGTGTTGCGTGGCCTCCTCCTCCTGGCCAGCTCCATCTCCCCGTGCTCTTCCTGGTACCTTTGCACTACTCCACAATTACCTGCTTCCTCTTTTCTTTCAGCAGGAAAGGAGCTGCGGGAGGGCAATAAGGATTACCAGCAGGTGTTACTGGACGTACGGCGCTCCCTGCGGCGCTTCCCACCAGGTGAGAGGGGCTCACAGCGAGCGCCTGACCATTGCTGCAGGGAGGCTGACCTCTAGAAAGCCTCCCTGTGTCAGCTTACAGCAGCTTCTTTGCACACTGGAGCTGTTCCACAGCTGGCGGCTTCCTCCAGCCCCTGCCTGGGCTGCAGCTGGGGCCTGATGCTTTGCTGTCTGTCCTGTCCGTGCTGAGACCCTCTGTGCTCAGTCCTCTGTTGCTGAACGGTGCCAGCGCAGAGATGTCCGATGCTGCACAGCCCTCAGCTGTTGTCACCAGGGTGAGATTAGGGCTGATGGAACGCTTGAGAAATTGACCGTGTGCTTCAGTGTATTTCAGACGGGGAACTGTGCCCGAGGAGTGTGGAAGGCAGATCTGTCAGAGCAGGTTGTTTCACAGCAATCCCCACGCCAGATTTTCCCTCTGTGGTTCCCACACCAAACTGAAGAGAAGTAACCTTTGGGAGCGGAAGGTTCCTGCGGTTGTTTGGTTCTGAAGGGTGGCTGGTGCCTTGTCGTGCTGTTTATAAAGCAAGTAATCCAGCAGCTATCTAACTCTGCAGAGCAGCCGTTGTTCCTGGCCAGGATCTGCATCCCCCCTTCTGCTGCTTTATTGTGCATAAACAGTTGATTCACTCTGCTTCTCTTTCGGGTGCGGATACGGCCTGATTCCTGAAGGCTCTGCTGCTGCTTCGTTTGTTTGTTTTTGCCCTTGAATGGCGACCTCCTCCTGCCTATTTTTAGAAGCATCAGTGAAAGAGGGGAAAAGGAGAACTTTGTCATTGCAGGATCTCCTCTGGGACGTTCTGCTTGGCTGTAGGGCATTTTCTCTGTTGACAGGGACTGCCAAAAAAACAGCTGCAGCTGTGCGTGGCAGGAACAGTGTTTTTCCCGTGACATCCTGTCCCTGAACACATGTTGTGAGCAGAGGACCGATATCAAGTTGTGGCCATTGAGGCCTCGCAATCTGATGCAGCTGGCACGGTTTCTGTGAAAACTCTGTCCTGTTTAATTTTTTCCTAGAGCCCTTGGGAAATTAGAAATGATTAAAATGTCCTCAGCAGTGCTGGATGTGCAGTGCAATTTGCTCCTCGCAGCACTGTACAAACACCCATAACCCTGTCATCCACGGCGACTTCCTGGCAGGTAGGGACCCTGCAGCTCCAAGGGTTAAGCAGGCTCACAGCTTGGTTGGCTTCTCCAGGGCCAGCAGGAGCAGCATTAGGAACCTGGGTCTTACACAGCTTTCTCAGCCCGCTCCCTGTTGTCCCACATCCTTTGTGATGAGGCTGGTTGGTAAACATACAGGCAGGGAGCAGCGGGTGATGCAGCCCATCTCACCAGTGCCTTGTCCCCGCAGGGATGCCGGATGACCAGAGAGAGGGGCTGCAGGAGGAGCTCATTGACATCATCCTCCACGTCCTGAAGCGCAACCCGCAGCTGCACTACTACCAGGGCTACCACGACATCGTGGTCACTTTCCTCCTGGTGGTTGGGGACAGGTTGGCCACAGCTCTGGTGGAGAAGCTCTCGACGCATCATCTCAGGTACTCAGAGACTCAACCAGGGGAGAGGAGCTGCTGTGAGTGTGGGGGCAGAGGGGTGGCCTGTCC